GCCGGGTGGGGGCGGCGGGCGCGGGGGGCCGGGTGGGGGCGGCGGGCAGGATGCTGAGCCGCCTGCAGGAGCTGCGGAAGGAGGAGGAGACGCTGCTGCGGGTGAAGGCGGCACTGCACGAGCAGCTCACCCGGCTTAAGGTCGGTGGCACCGGGCGGGCGCTGCGCTCCGGGAGCGGGGCGGGCCGTTCCTCTGCCGCGCGGCGCTGCGCTGCGGCCGGCCGACGGCTGCGCTTCTTTCGCGGCGTGGCGAGAGAATGCCGGGCGCCGGAAGCGCTTCGTTTCTGCGTGGCCGCCCCGCGGTGACCGCGAGTCCTTGGCGTCCCTTCGTGCGCAGGTGGAGGAGCTCGCGCTGCAGTCCATGATCCGGTCCCGGGAGGAGGACCTGGCCGCCGCCCCGAGCGCGGAGGACCCGCAGCAGGTGAGGCACAGCGCGAACGCGAGCGGCCCTTCGGCTTCCCCGTCCCTGTGTGTTTGGGAATGGCTGCTTGCGTCCGATGCTCCTAAGTGTAAGGCAGGCAGCGTTTTAGCCGAGAGGCGGTTGGGATGTGCGTACGGTCTGAGCCTTCATCTGAGCTCCTGAGATTGTTCGGCGATGCTCATCGCTTCCCTGGGCTGCTGGGGCCGGCAGCTGCAGTGCGGTCTGAACGGGGTGGTGACGGCTCCCCGCTCGGCTGTGAGCTCGGCGCTGCTCCTGGCGCTGACAGCCCTCAGTTGCACTCTCTTATCATGACAGATCCTCGGGCAGATGGACGACGAGGCTGCTATCAATCAAACGGAATTACAGCTGAGTATTCGAGATTATGAAGAGGAGATGGAAGAGGAGGAGGAATCGGATTCTTGAGAGAGAAAAGAGTCAAAATGTTTTTTAATACAGACTCAGGAATTCCTTCTTTGTTCTTGCCGGCAGATGTTTGTGTTGTGCTGTGTGACATGCCAGACTCCCAGAGTTGCAGGTTACCTTTGAGGACACAAATGTCCCAGGCTTGGCAGATCTTGAATTAGATGTTAAAAGAATGAGAACTTGCTGCACCAGTATGTAGCATAATCCGTTTTGCAAACCTAGTGTGTAGCTTACTACATCTTTATACAAGGTAAAAATCATTAATTCAGACTAATTTAACACAGTGAAAGCAATAATTTGTCCGTTCTTATTTGCTGTTGCTGAAAAACAAAACCAGGCCGCAGAGGCTGGTTGTGAACCAATGATTATATCATAACCTCAGCTGCTTAAACTGGAAGTTTAAAGGGAGGCAGTGAGAAAAGATATGTCCAGCCTTGTCTCCAGGCTTTCTGCTGCAGTGCTCTCAGTTACACAGACAACTCAACATCCGTGTCCTGTAAGTGTGACCCAGAGGAGCTGTATTGTTCTCTCAGCAGGAGCAGCAGGCATTGCACTGCTGCCCTGCTGCTGAGTGCAGTAGCAAGGGAGCTCTCTTGTCCCTCCAGGTGCTGTTTTTAAGTACTGTCAGGCTGATGTAACAGCCACATTTTTCTTACCTGCTCATTCAGCATAGCAGCCAATGGGCCTTTTATTCTTCCACAAACTGTATGGTAAGAATTAGTCCGTATTAGTTGTAATAAGGAACTAATATTTTCAGTTTTTATCTTTTTCCCTTACAGTGAATTTGTAGTTCAATGCCAGTCTGCCTTCCGCTTTAAGGAGTATGAGAAATTAAAATTTACTTGGAAAGTGATGCAAAGTCCCTTCCACAGTGTATTTAATGGTATGGTGACAAGCTTATACTGCTCCTACAGGTACACAGTGTGTTCTTCCTCCTCGTGGAATGTGGACACCAAGTGGAGCAGCTGGTTATTGATCAGTTCTTAAAGACTTGCTTTGAGGAATGCAAAATCAAACTCTGTTAAGCTGATGAAAAGCAGATGAGTAAAAATAATATCCTTACCACTTAGTTTGATAAAGAAAATAGCCACGGCAATCCAGGTTGTTCACTGCACAGCCAGCTAAAGGTGCTATTGCTGTCTCTGGTATTAACAGCTCAGAAAATCAACCATTATCTGGAGTTTGCTTTTAAGAGCAGGAAAAGAACTTAGGAAAGCATCCAGTATCCTGGGTGTCATCAGAGCACTTGATTCAACCTCCACCACGTTCCTGCCACTGTTTGAAGAGAAATTATTTGGCTTGTAGCTATAGGAACGTAATTCCAGTTTCATCCTGTACTAAAGACTAATTGTTTTTCTGACAAGCCTGGATGTCTTAATGAAAGAGCTTAGAATGTGAATTCAAAACACTTGGCAAAGCCTTCCTGAGGCTTGCAGGAGAAAAATAAAATGTCTGAGCAAGAAATGTTATGGCTTGGAGTGTCAAATGGTTCTTTGGAGGCGTATGGAGAGTTTGTGAGCATCGCAGTAGCCAACCCCTCCTCTTGCACGTTGCAGTTCCCAGCATGTCTGTGGCACTTCCAGCCCCATCTCAGCCCAGGGACATCTGCTGCACCTCTGCAGAGCCCCTCTGGAGCTGTTGGTCTGGGGTTTCACCGCTAGAGACAAATTTTGACCTTTAAAAATAAGTTATGTGGCCCCAGGAGATTGCCAAATTGTTTTCATGTCTGTGCTGCATCTTCTTTCTCCCTGCTCTCTCTTCTGAACCGGCCTTTTGAAATTAAGTCCAGCAAACTCTTCTCCATGTTGCAATAAAGTACTGTTGCTGCTGTCCAACTACATGTAACTGTACTTGCAGTGTTCAAATCACTGCTGCATGTGGCACAAAATAGTAAAATCAGCTTTCCTATCTAAAAAATTGTTGTCCACAGTCTGCATATTTCCTCTAACAACTCGTACAAAGTACTGCTGTAGTTCTTCAGTGTGACAGTTTGTCTGTTTCACACACATGAAAAAGATAATGGAGTGCACATAATATGGCACTGATTAAGATGAAGGTCTTGGTGAAGTTCTCCTTTGAGTTTAAAAGAACAGCTTCAAGTTACTTGATAATATATTTATTAAGAGAATCCACTGCTAAACATCTGAGAGAATAAAACAATAGAGGATCTTCATACACTTTAGACACCAAACACAGCTGTCATGAACCTTAAGGTTAAAAGAAAGCAAATTGCCCAGATCTTTGTCATGATTCTGTAGGACACTTGAGAGCTACCCTTTAAAAATCAACCGGAAAGACATACATCACTAAATCCAAGTATGATGACACATTTTAAAAATAAATATAGAAATATGAACAAGTCTACAAGTAGAATATTGCTCTGTCCACTCCAAGGAATGCAGAGCTCTTGCCTTCTTTACCTGGAAAGAGTGATCTCTAAACAACAGCAAAATTGGAACCATCAGGCCTAACTTCCAAGATACAGTTTGGCAGCAGCAAAAGCATGCTCAACAGATACAGTTTTGGAGCATCCCTAACCCTTTTTTTGCATGGGAGATTAGGTTAGCATGACTGAAGTACCAACGGTTTACCAAGAGCCTTGATAAAGTTCAAACAATCAAGGGGTAAATTCCCCCTGTGATATTTTCATTAAGAAAGAATATCCATAATCACTTAAAATCAGCAAGCACTGTAACTTAAACATCTTACATTTTGGTCAGCAAACAAACGTAACCCAATACAATACCAATTAGTTGATGACAAAATTTAAAACAATTTGGCACATGCTCTAAAGACATTCTTCCTTAAGAGGTGAAATACATGTTTGAACAGGTACAAGCTTAGGAAATAGGACCAAAGGAGTGCTGTTAACAGATGCACGGGGCAGGATTTGCTCTTCCACGTTCAGACTCCAGCAGCATGCGTGGGTGTACTTGGTTGGTTAAGGCCTATGGTCGAGCAAAGCCATCCTGCAAAATCCACCTCCTCTGCTTCGGATCTCTTAATGAAAGCATGAATCTTAACAGAGGAAAATCAAAGTTACTCAAACACCCAGCAAGGCAACACGATGAGGCAAAGAATCATTGTGAATCAGCTACAATAAGTCTGATTTACTTTCTGTATTCATGTGGCTTGCCAAATTTTGTAGCAAGCTTAAGGCGACCAGTAGAGCTCTTCTGCAGGATTACTGAAATAATCAGCATATGAAGGGTCCATACTGCAAAGTATTCCAGAGGAATACTGCTTACACAGTGCTTACACTGTGGGTACTTACACCACAGTACACGATAAGAATGTGACTCAGCCACTTGAGATAACACACTCTGGAAAATGTCTGCTTTCATGCACAAGAGATTTTTGCAACAGAAAGAATTTGATTGTATTTTGCAGCCTTACTTACTATACAGCAGTATCAGGGCACAGCAAAGTTTATTTTCTGCAGTACAAAATAAGCCCTAGCATTAAACTTGAGGCCATGAGAAGATCCAGGGAAAGTGAAAGTCATTTCATGTAGAAAAAAATGCAAGATTTGTTTGTATCTAGTAGTTCTACAGATTTTGCAGCACCAAGCTGATGAAAGAAGAGAAGGAAGCTTCTTTCCCAGAAGCTGCTAAAACTTCACTTAAGTAGTCCATAAGGTTAGAGGAATTCAGTTCAGCTGTCCTCTTACACACTTTACAACTGGCTAATAAACCAAAGCAAAAGCTATTTTGCTAATCAACCAAATGGCAGACTGCAAAGCCTCGACAGGGCTCCTGTTTTCAGGGTGTGCAAAAGCCTGAGGCCTCTAGATCTCTGGACAAGAGAAGCACTCCCTCCTCCAGAACTGTTTGAGCTGCGTCAGGAGGCACAAATGACATTCTAGGCTGCACGCTCAACCCTCAGCTCAGCTCAATTGAGGAACCCAGCCTGTATGGAATAATGTTCCATTTCAAGTTAACAACTTTCACTTACCATCAGCTGCTTCAAATCAGCTCTCTCAGCAGGATTTTTAATTAAGCTACGAAAACAAAGCATGACACAGGTTACACTCAAAAGAAAGATCAAGTTAGATTGTGTTGGTATACTGTTTTTGTCCTGGGAAGACACCACTCTAGATAAAAGCATGAGGTTTTTGGTAAGCAACTGCCTCTGTAGATTTCACAGGTATAATTTTAGGTATGAAATCCTGAGTCATACAACATTGTTCAGTGGGGGCAGAAGTGAGAGTACAGAGTCAGGCTGTAGGGATCAGATTTGCATTTACATTCAACAGTATCACACGCTACCCTTCAGGTCTCTCTTACCCAAGCCTTTTCCAGCTCAGTATCTACTAGTTGTTCCTTTGTGTCACTGTTCCTTCTGGTAGAAATAGCTAATAGCTAATAACAGAACTAGCTTTTCTGTTGTTAGCTATTAGCTTTTTTTTTTTTTTCACCTTTTTTTTTTTTTTTAAAGAAAAAACTTACTCATCTTGAATAAACTACTTTCCTTAAAGCTGATCATACCCATCCAGTACTTGGAAACGTAAAGAAGTGAGAAAATTAATACTGTGATAATGATTCAGTGAACCATTAGGGAGGGAAATTTGGAGCATGCAAGAGTTCTGCATCACATGGAATGCTCACTGCAGAATGCTACTCATAAAAGTATGGATCCTCTTACAGAAGAGTTTTGCATGATCAGTCTTTAAGTACTGTGGTGTTTTCAGTGCTGAGGAAGTACTAATTTTGAGTTGCCACAGAAGCAGAGATGATATCTTAAAGAGTGGAACACCTCCTAGCTTTGGTGTTCTCTTTGAATGCATATGTTGTCAAGCTGGTGCCTATAAAATGAGCTTTAGGCACATTAGCAGAGAAAATACTTACCATTTGTTAACAAAATCTTGAAATTCAGAACCAAAAACACCATTGGGCAGTTTTGGAGGTGGCTGAAAACAAATTAAGAAAGAGTCCCATCAATTAAAGCAGAACGAATGATGCTGTACAACCTACCCAGAGTCTGCCAGCTAAGTCCAACATCTGAGTAAAGCTGCCCTGATGCTACCTATGCCTTCTTCCCAGAGTTGAGCTCTCAAACAAGTATGAGGCAGACGTGCAGACTTCAGTTTTCAGGCTGACAGCCCAAACAAGGACATGTCTCATACTGCAGTGATAAAGATCAGAACCTGACTTAACATAACATTACCCCTATATACCCAAATTCTGCATTTTAAAAAGTTTACAATTAAATTAGTGCACGTAGTTGATTACCTCATTGACAATGTAATCCAGAAGTTCAAAGATCGCCATTGGGGGTCTGCTGTCTGGTCCATAGGCTAAGAAGAAATAAGGTAGGTGGGAAAACACAGCATCACTCTCAAGAGGTAGGGCTGTTTTCGGAAGCTAACAGGCATATGCCTGATTCCTGCATGGCAGAGTTTCTGGACACCCAGTAAATTCACAGGAAGAAAGTGGAATAGTAACAGTAATACTTTCATTCCAGGACAGATCATTACTGTCAATTCTGATCCAAATCATTAACTTCACTGAGAATCTTCCTGTTGTACTTGGATGTCATTGCATCTTTGGAGATGAACCATACCAACTGAATACATCTTAATGGCATTCAGAAATGATTACTAGCATAAGGACATCTGGTCCTTGATTTTCAAGCTCCAATACCTTCTAATAGTGAGACTGAAGCAGATGCCCTATCAACCTTGTCTGTTCCATTTCTATTTACTTAAAGTATAAAGCTACATCATGCAGATCAACACTCAATAAGCGAGAACCTAAGCTTACAGCAAAGCATATCAGAAAAGAATCTGATTTTAAATCTTAACATTAGTTTTGTATGTCTTTTGGACACTGCAGAGATGCCTCAGTGGTACAGATGGCAGTCTGCTTGGTATGGCTTGTTCCACTGTTAACTGCTTTATTTGCCTCTCACTTTGGAACTTACAGCTCATTGGTCGACCAGGGGTTCTTTGCCTGGGTGAGGTCTCTGTGACTGGAGAATCTCCCTCTACCGGGCAGCCAAACATCAACTCGAGCTCCTTGGAGTCAGGAGGAGGAATGGGGTATCTGCCAATGGCCATTTCCACCAGAGACAGCCCCATGCTCCATATATCCGACTGCACTGAGTAATGAGTTCCCTGCAGCCTTTCGGGCTACCAGGAGAAAAAGAAAAAAAGAAAATGTAGACACAGTAAAGTACTGTAACAAAGACATTTAAAGTGGCATTCTATAATAGCCTGAATAAAGCAGGCGATGAAATCCCCATACACAGTGTGACACATTCCAATGAGCGACATAACTTCCTATTCCAGAAATCTCATCCGCAGTTCCAGAATTTCTACAGACTTTTTGTTACCCTACAAATAAATGAGACTCTTACAAGCGGTGCCACCACATTGCTGTTTTACATCTTTAACATGATATCTAAATGCTGCAACTATTAACAGTGATGGGATAATTAAAGAACAACGAAACAAAACTAGTAGG